CTTGCCCTTGATGCTGTAGATTTGGATCTTGCCGCAACAAACCCACTCGCATAGATCGCAAAGAAGCATCCGGAGCAAGTACTTCAGGACGGCTTAAGTGCGGCGACCACACAAAACCCATCTCCTTCAAACAGGCTGCGTCTCCTGCACTCATCTTGGCACTGTCCCGGACGGAGTAAGCCAGTAACACCACACGATTGCCACCTGACCAAGGTCGCGTAGAGTGCGTGTGCTTGGGATTGAAGAAATGAAAACAGGCACTTGACCCACATCCAAAACTTCCACACCACCAGGGGCATCAACCTCCAAACCACCTTCCTTGAAGGACGACAAGGCCGCTATCATATTTGTACCCACATTATGGATGTCCTTGTGGCCCTTGGCCTCCACATTGATGTTCACCACCAAAGAGTTGAACTCATGCTTGGGAGCGATTTGTCGAACATACTTAGCCAGGACCTTGGTGGCGAAAGGGAAGGCTATAGTGGCCTTCTTCAGGCCTGCAAAAGGACCATGAATGAAAGCTCCTGATGCCCAAACCTTCTGTCCATCCCGAGCTCCAAAACGCCTTGGCGCAGCCGTAGTTGCCGGAAGCAAGTAGGTCAGCATCTCCAACTGGTCTGGCTCCAGGCGCTCCTCTTTAAGAAGTCCAAAGGCATACTGTTCTGCCGCATGCTCGGGGTCGTGCTCTCCAACATCTATATCCATGGGATCCGCGCCTGCAGCACCTTCCATGGAAGATTTTTCCCGTACTCTCCTTGTTGGGGGTACCACAATGGCCTCGTACTTGCCCAAATCAACAAGGTTGTCAGAGTCAACTAGATGAGGACGCAAATGTGCAGAGGTCATGAACTGTCCGTCCTCAAAGCGCACCACATGCCCACCTCGAACATCCAAACTGGGCCCCACATATATCCCAGCTCGCCATCTCAGATCAAGATCATGACGGCCTCCTGCGCCGTACACTTTCGAGCGGACATGCACAGGTGTCCCAAAAGGTAGTATATCCTGCCCACGACCAAGCTGCGATTCTCTTCTTGCCCAAGTTGCATACACAGAAGCCATCGCCCAGCACGACTTTGGAAGGGAGGTCGCTGTAAGCAGCTTCTTGGTCTGAGCCTTCACCCACTTGACAGCATTTTCAGCTCTTCCATTGGCCTGAGGGGACTGTCCCTCTGTGTACGTTGACACCGTACCACGCTGTAAAAGCCATCTACGGAGAGGAGTGGTTCTGAGCTCCCGCGCCCGGTCCGCATGTACCCTTGCGATGTGTAGCCCTTCAGCACGAAGAGTTAAGAACACCTCTTGCACAGCAGCGTGTACTTCGGCAGACGTTCTTGACCTCAAAGGGCGGGAGATGTAGAAGGTGTCCATGTCGAACTCCTCACCAACTTCATGGAAGATTTTCTCAAACTCCTCCTGAGTCAGGCCCTTTAAATCATCCTCTTCACCGACAGAGCGGATTTCCTCTACATCCTCAACGAAAATGTCATCCTCCTCCTCAGCCAACACAGGACCAACATCCGAGGAATCACCACAAACCCCGCCATCACACTTCAGAGGCGCTGCGGCTTCATCACCTGAGGGGGCATACTCTAAGCAATCATCTGGAGGATGTTGGTCACCATGAGAACCCAAAGCAGCCCTTGGCTCGTTTTTTGTACGTCTACTCTTCCCCTCAGTCTTCTCCAGCCTGGGGTAGGTGTACGCACCGATCAGCATGTAGTGATAGTCACGGTGGTCTGGGTCCGCCGCTTTGTTGCGGTAGGGACCTGCTATGTCAAGGCTGAGGCAATGTGCACTTGGATGCTTGATGCGTCTGTGCATGCGCCCAACTCCGGAGCTTGCAACGCAGGTACGGCATCTCCTGTTGTATGGAGTATGATTGTTCCTCACGTGGGTGCGCCACATTCTAAGTTCCTTCTCGGAGAAACCCTCCAGGAAACCCTTGACATCAAGCTTCTTGGCCCACTTGACAACCTGAAGCGCCTCAGGCTCCCTTCTCCACCGCCGTACCGCATCCACAATCGTCGTCTTAAAGGAGGAGCTCCATGTTATACCCGTGGAAGTAGTACATTCCAAAGGAAGGATGAAGTCAAGGTTGGTAGCTATGACCCCAGCTACTTCTTCCAAACACATCTCCTCCAATATCAAAGGCCAAGCTTCCCGAAGAACTTCCCAGCCTTGACCAAAGCCACCCTTGATGGTCTCAAAGAGCTTGCGGCCCTCAACCACTGCAAACACTGGAAACTCACCCTGCCTAATTGCCGCAGCCTTAGCCACAAGCGTCAACCACAGCTGCTTCATCACCAATGCCGTGTCGGATGAGTGTCGGCAAGGAGGCGCTCCAATGACTCCTGCCACACGGCCAGTTGCTGCAGCCCATAACAAGCCGCGATACACTCCTCCGAACGTGTTCATGTCAAAGGCCTTGGAACGGGTTATATCCACCTCAATCAGGACACGGCCATCATCAAGCTCCTTGAGGATAGGGTCGGCTCCCTTCCCAGCTCCCGCATAGAGATGAACGATCCATTTGGCCGCCAACATCCTCTTTCTCTTCTGTCTCGAGACCGGAAATGCCTTCAAGTAGTTCCAGCCAGCCTTATCAGTGAGGAGGATTTCTTCGGCTAAGGAAGCCCTCTGAAAATCGGTCAAAGCCCGAAAAGGTGAATCGCTCGCACCCAAAGCCAACAGCTGAGAAGCCCGACTTCCATCTGTCAAAAAGGACTCAAGGTGGGTAGCCCAGTCCTGCTCGTAGTCCCAAGACCATATAGCATTGGCAGTGGGTGAGGTTGCCATTTCAAGGTCTGCCACGTTCAGTTCCTCCAACTCTCGGATCAGATCCAAGGCGCAGGCCTCACCAACCAACGGACATTTTCCAACCACACGCGGCTTGATGACCCCATGGCTGGGATGCTTAATCTCGAGGCCTCTGCGCCTAGTCCAAGTCAGATCACATCCAAGATCTTGGACAAGTGAGCCAAGAGGAACTATAGGGGCAGCCTCACCAGAAGTGGCCGAAGTCGCCAGCAGCGTTCCACCACGGTTTTGCGCCAAAGTGACCTCAGCACCATTGGCCAGCTGGACCTTAACCTTGGCGGCGGTCTCAACCTCTTCGTCTCTGGCCACTCGAAAGGCACGCGATGCACCTGAGTCCAAAAGCCCACTTCGGCCATCTTGATGATTACAATGGTGAAAACTCGCCATGTTCTCAACCTCTGTTGAACGCAAGGACAACATCTTTAACTGCCGCATCTCCTTCAACATAGCATTGGCCTCTTGCAGGAGATTCTTCAAGTCGGAGTCCGGAACTTCCACGCAGCCTTGGGTGGCACAGGTGTTGTTGCTGAGGTTAACGCGGAGGACTTGGCAGCACCCGCCTTTGCATTGGCCTTGGCAGTGGGACTTGTTCCGTCCCCTTTGACTGGACACCCAGATTGCTGATGTTGCCGGCTGCCACAAGTCCAACATCTTCCTTGCTTCTCCTTTCTGGTGAAGGCATGCGACCATGTACATGAAGCCCCCTTTGAACATCCAGCATCTGTGAGGAAGAATTTGCAAGGAAGAAGTCCTGCCTTGGCCTTCGCCTTTGGAGATGGCGAACCACCAGGGCTAGGTTCTCCAGCCGGTTTGGTACCTGCAGGCATTCCGGTGCCATCGATTGCCTTCACAAAGGGAGTGCCCGAGCTACTTGGAGGACCTCCTCTATAAAACACCTGCTCAAATTCGGACACAAGGGCGTTATGGAGATCCCATACCCCCTTCTCAGTTGGCCTTGTATCCACCTCCAGCGTATACCTGAGCATGCTGATGCGGAAACTGATGTCCTGGTGATCCAGCAGCGGCCTTTTTGTCAAGCCATCAAATCCTCGCAAAAGAACGCTTGGATCCGGCCTCTGTAGCCCCATATCCGTGGCACGAGACATCCACCTTCCCCACTTTCTCAAGGAAGCCACGGCCTCATTGGCATTCGCCGCAGGCGGGGGTGATTCCAAAGAAGCCAGGACCTGTTGCCTCTCCACCACCGAGCCTGGACGGTAAAGCACCACCACCCTTGCAAGAATGGCCAAGGTGCCGTTCAAACGAGAGGCCAAAAGCTCCTCCTTCACTGAATCGGAGAAGCTTGCCATCAGCATGGCCGCTGCCCGCTTGTCCACACGTGCCCATCTCTGGTCCTTGAGCTCAGCCGACTCATAGTCCTCAGGACGCAAAGAAAGCTTCCCAACATGGGAGGCTCGAGTGTACGCCTCGTAGTAGGCCTTGAGGCATGTCATAATCTCACGCCACCACAACCCACTGGCATTGGAGAGGTCCCCCATATAGTTCTGGATACCATGGAGCCAGTCGCCAATGTCAATGGCTGAGTTCGAAGAGACTTCCGGTAGCTTAGGTAGATCTATGGCACCAGGCTTCACGATCTCAGGCTCCCTGGCCTTCAAACTCAAAGACTCCTTCATCGCAGTCTGGAGCTGCGTCATCCCTCGAACCAACAATATAAGGGGTCTAAAACGCCTGACGGCGCCCTCGGAGCTTCTGACCGCCCCACATCAACCGGAGGTTCACTGGTGCCGGCCCTGAAGCCTGAATCTCGGCCCTCTGGGACTCCAAGAGGATTGCTGCCTTCATGGCTTCGACCTCCATACTGACCAGCAAGATTGCCCCCAAATACACCAGGACCTTCTCGAAGACTAGGAGGAGAACCCAACAGTCTTCCTGAACCACCCTGAACTTCAAAACCATCACCCAGGCGCCTTCCTTCACTAGGTTGTCGAAGAGGGTCTTCATCTGGTCGCAATCCAGATGCCTGATCAAGGCCAGGAGGAAGTCCTACGCGCGCTTCTTGTTGTTGGAGTAGAGGGGCGCTTCCCTGAGGTTCCACATGGTTTCCTCGATACAGTTGACCAACTTGATCCTGTAGTCGGGGCTGGGTGGAATGAACAAACTGCTCAACCAACGCCTTCAACTTCACATTCTCAGCCTCTAGAGCCTCACGTTGTCTATGAAACTCCTGCATCTCAATGGCCACCTGCTTCTGCACTTCATTCAGCACTTGCTCCCGTGTAATTGAACCCGTAGAGGAATCACTAGGTTGTTGAGGAGAAGGGTTCAAAAGTGGGCCCTGTCTACGCCAGCGTCGTTCCCATTGCTGCATTGCGCTCTCGGCCTCTGGAGTCATAAGTCCTTGACGACCAGCTCCGTCTTGCCAGCTCCTGGGAGGCGACAAAGGGGTTCTTGAAGGGGGAGTTGCTCTGGCAGCCGTTCGAGCTTCGATCAAAGGAGTCACCAAAGAAGCTCCAGCTTGACTTACTCGTCGCTGTAAAAACTCTCCCAACCTCATGAACCAGACATTAGGGGCTGAACTGCTAGTGCCTGTGCTACCGTCAAAGCGTGGAAGCTCTTCAGGAGGGGAAAACGTCACCCCTTCGACAGTCACTTGATGTGCAACATGTTCTGTGGCCACAGCAGGTGTATTGAATGGAGGAAGCACAGTGTTCTCTGCATAGGCTGCTGCCGATGCTGCTTGCTGCTGGAGCTGGGTGGTAGTGGGTTGTGTGGTGATAGGTGCACGCACGCTGTCTGTAGTGTATGCGCTCGCGCCGTCCACGGCCGGTGCAACGAAAACAGAAGACGGCTCTGCACCATCACTTGCACTGAAAACCACATTTCCAGAACCATTCACAGCACTTACTGAAACACCTTGCTCTGCGGACCCGTACAAGGGGCCAGCGGTCTCGCCCTCCAACATAGTACCTGCAAACAGCGCAGTTTGAGTGCTTGGGCTCATAACCTGGCTTTCGACCCCATCAGGGATATTCATGGTACAGGCCAGCAAGGCGCTCCAAGTCCATGAACCCTCAGCGAGGCCTAACTCCTTTTTACGCAAGGGAATGACGATACCTTGTAAGCGTGCTCTGCACTGCTAGCTATAGCATGCTACGACTGCACATGTTTAGCCCAAGCATCCTTTGCTTAAGCCACAACACGCAACGTGAAGCAATGCCACATAGACTCATCTGCAGGATCCTAGTATTAAGGCCCTTAAAAGGAGGGGGGTTATTAATCATGGGTCTTCATTATACAATATACATGCAACAGGACCAGATGCCCTAAACCCGAAACCCTAATGTAGAGCCCTGATTAATAAACCCCTCTCCTTTTGAGGGCCTTAATATTAGGAGCCCTAGTATAATCCCTATTAAGGGGATGGGGTTTATTGATCAGGGGTCTGGGTTAAACCCTGAACTTTCTTTAAACAAGGCCTAATGTTAGACAACGCGAATCACTGCCATGCGGCTTTCATCAACTGAGATCCCGCAGGCTGCAGCAGCATCTAGGACAGCCTGGGGGAAAGGCTCCATGCCGGGCGGTGGATCATAGGGTTTTGAGTTCTCTTACGCAGTTGGAGGGATGAGGGATAAGTTCTATGTCCTCAGCATGTTGCCCCTTTTTTTTGCAGGAGTGGTCCCATATTGCACTCGGCCGCCCAAAACCACGCAAGCGCCGAGTTGGGTTTATATAAAGATTTAAACCTCAGGGTCCAAAACATACTTAGGCAATCACTAACGGGGCCAAAAAACAACTGGGCCCCCCTTTTCTTGCGAATTACCGTGTATAGGGAGGACTCTAGGAATCCCTTTGCCTCTAGCCACGCGGTTTAGGGTTGAGGGTGTCGGGTTTAGGATGAACTACACCTCATTATAGCCGGGGCTTCCTTGACCTAGGTTTAGGGTTTAGGATTAGGGGCTTAGGGCTTAGTAAGAGGCACCTGTCAACCCCTAGGCGTCAACTGAAAGCCTCAAACATGATGTGTACAGCATCCCATGCTCGAACATAAAGACATAAAGCATGGAGTCTAAGCCCCAGAGCCAAGACCCCTTAAACGCTAATCTGCTGACGCCCCAAACTCCCGAGCGCAAAGACCTTGATCTCTAAAACCCCGCCACAACACACCCTCACAGAGCCCAAATAAGCACCGAACCAAGGGATGTGGGGCTTCTAGGGATCTACGTGATAAACCCTGCACCCTAATCTCTCCAACCCTAAACGGCCCTAAACCCTCCAACCCGACAGTAGATGGAGGAAATCCTGCACGGCAACCCAATGACACGATATGGTTTAGGGTTTAGGGTTCTGTCATTCGTTGGGTACAGGGTAGATTAGACCGTGCAAGATATCCGCCATCCATCCTAAAGCCACAAACCCCAAATTACCAGATCCTCTTAAGGGGATGGTTCAATTGCGGGGGGCCGGAGATACCTAGTACTCCCTAACATTCCCTAATGTTCCGTACTACTCCAAACTACCCAAAAACCCCCTTGGGCCCAACCCCCTTGAGGACCTGAGAACCAAAAGTCCAGCATGCCACCCTTGGAGGTCCGTTGTACTTATAACCTACTTAGTAACTGCAGTTATAACCCAGTTATATCTAGGGTACCTGTAGTTATGAGACTCACGATATTTTCTAAACCCTAAACCCTATAACTGCAGTTACTAAGTAGGTTATGATTACAACGGACCTCCAAGCCTGCCTGCAGCAGGTCTCGCGCTAGGACGCCAGGTCTTGCAAGGCGCCCAGGGGGAAGCTCAGAAGCCTACCGGGGCAATGGGTTGGTTTCGGGTGTAGGGTTTAGGGTTTAGGATGGTTTAGGGTTTAAGGGCCTGAAACATCACTCTAAGCATCCGCATAGCCCAATGTAGGTACTATCTATAGGCTTCAGGTATATAGCGGTTCTGACGAGAGAAGCTCTTCCATCATCCAGACTATGGCAGCATCTTCAAATTTCGGGTCCCTATTGGGGGGTCCTGTATTCAGGATTCTGGCACGGTCTGGCCTATTCGGGGCGTTCCCTTATTTCTGGAAACTACCGACTAATCCCTCGAACGTTAACCTATAGGAGTACTTATATGGGATTACAGAAGGTTTCTTGTTGAGAAAGTTGCGCGTGGTTCTCAAACTGCACGGTTCAAGTTTCAGGGTTCAAGATACAAGCTTTAGGCTGTGGGGTTCAGGGCTTATAGAGATCTGGGGGCTTCCGACTTGGTCCCCTTTGGGAGTACCCACCAGAAGGACCACAGCATTTCAGGGTCTGTATTGGGGTGTGGGGTATCCCCGATGCATGCAAACTACCATTTTTGAAATGTTGAGCTAAGGTTCGAAGTTGGAGCTTCAAAGGCCTCAGGGTCCTAAATCCTAAGCCCTAAACACTTAACAAAAAAAGTCTAGGATTCAGAGCGCAGGGAGTGTAGGACTGTGGGTTGGTTGGGCTTAGGGAGCTTGGGTTTATGGTTTACCCTAAGGGTCCAAGGACCCAAATAATAGGGTTTTAGGGCCCAAATACCATGAATACTATAGTATTTGGGCCCTAAAACCCTATTATTTGGGTCCTTGGACCCTCAGGGT